ATGATTCATGTGTTTTGAAGTTCGGTGTCATTGGATTGAGGGTCATCCCTCAATATCAGAAGGCCTCCTCTTAATTTAATAATTAGTCTTGTAATCTAAATTGTAAAAACCTGTTGAAATTAATATTAGGAAGAGACTTCCTTCTTTTTTTGGCAAATTAAGGAACAAGGCAGTACTCATGGTAATAACATGGAAAGTATGTTTGGCCTGTTTTCACCTTCTGCTATAGAGAAATTGTTCTAAACACTGCAAGATAAACGTGCACCGAAACATATAAAAATGAATTTAATGAAAAGTCATAAACATGAACAATATTTAAGAAGTCAAGAGTAATTGGAGAGACAGAGCTGCCAGAATGCTTGAAAAGAACTAAGTTTTTCACATTATTAGTTATACAAATTGAAACATTTAATAATTAGGTAGACTTGAAAGGAAAGTAGAAAGAAGAAATTAACAGGGCGGAGAAAGAAAGGTAAAGAACAAAATAATGAGAAACTGGTTACACAGCAAAAGTTTGTCAGTCAGATTCAGAAACACTCCTTTTGAATCTATCAATGAAGGCTGAAGCTCTGCGATCAATACCTGGCTCGGCGATCCAGCGCCTCCCATCTTCATCACTGGGATATATTCTCCTCACATAAATCCCTTCCTCACTTATATCATCTCCTCCCCGAGAACAGCAGGACTTGAAAATGTTGAGAATGGAAAAAGAAGATGACTTCCTCTGCCTTTTGTACCCTCCCATCTTGGTTTCCCTTACTTTTACCTAAGGACTAAGGAAGTTTGTGTTGTTTTTGCAGATGAATATGAGAAGACTTGAACTCTAAGGGACTGCAATGGCTAAATAAAATGGAATGTGTTGAATTTATAAAGCTATTGGGGAGGAAACCACTAGGGCTAAGAATTTGGATGTGAGGTTGATGTGGGGAGGTGTGTAGTTAATTGGACGGTGAGGATTGAAGGAAAAGACCAATGCTAAAGCTGTAAAACTTGGGGAAAAAGCATAAATGTTGTTGTCCTTTGCTTTTTGTATTTGTATTGATCAAAACACTTCTCGGTAATGGTATATGATTACCCTTTTCCTTTTGTGTAAAATAATGCCCAAGGCAGCTTTGTTGCTTCTACACTTACCAATATAGTGAATCTCTTTATGGCTTCCCTTTTTTTTCTGGCAGTCTCCCTTTTCTCTTTTTTATTGATTCAAAAAGGGGAATTTAATTCGATCACTGGAAACATGAAGGAAGGACACAATCACACTATACCCAAATTAAGTATTTGCAGTGTCTTTATGCAAGCTAGTTTGGTTGAGGGAATATAAGGTACTATCTAATAATGGTACAAAATCCCCAGAGAAAATTTGTTTTGGATGCTCTGGAAATTGAAACCCTAAACATATATTTATTGCATTTGGAAAAGTTGAGGTTTATATAATTTCTCTTAGGCCTAATTTCTGATATGGTACCTTCTTTAGTGTACAAGGCTTTAACATAAACTTCAATATTGAGGCCAAACAAGATGCAAAAAATAATATGAAAAGCAAACCAGGGCTATACAAAAGATGGGAATAGTCTTTTTTTTTTTCCTTAAATCTCTTTTTATTGACTTAGAGTTTGAACTTAAAACTTCTAAATTAGAATGTTGAGTTCTTATTCAATTGAAATACTTCAAAAGGAGCATTGATTAATACATACATTGTGATGGACACGGGACTTGAAGAGATTTGCTTTCTTCCTTTATTTTTGTTAAAACAAAGGCAATACAGCTAGAGAGACTAATACTTTTGGTTGTAATACGTATAAGTGTGAGAGAAATACACATCTTAGTTCGTAACAAAGTGCATCCAACTCGTACTTTGTACTTGAGGGTATTTTTGAAAAGGAGAATGGAAAAAATAATAAATTCCAAAGGCCCAAATTAATTAAGCCTTTCCTGGGTGCTTCTTGCAAGGTTTCCTTTCTTTCCTCTCAAGGAGGAAGCAAAAATTAAGCACAGGCAGTGCAATCAAGCTGTATCTAGCTTTTACGGAAAGGATGGGCACTAGACTTTTGCCTTAAAAAACTTAAAAATACAATTGGCTGGAGCCTGTAGCTAGAGTTTGGCATGCACATGTTTTAAATTTCAGCCACTTTACAAATAATATGTCAATTAAGGAAACAATCTCTCCCTTTCTTTGTCTTATTATTTTTTTTTTTAGGGGCATAGTGTTTCTAATCTAATTTGTGCCTGCCTTAGCAATTTTATAGATGAATTTCACATTAATCTGATGTATTTGAAGAAAAATTAAATTTCTTTTAGTCTTGTTCTAAAAATATCTTCTTATTTTGTATTAATTGAACATATATATACCATTCTGTATCTAAGAACTAAGATATTCTTGGTTTTTTTATCAGGTTAAAGGAGAGCTACGGATCATTGTTAGGTCCACAACCATGATGAAAAAAAGTTCATTATAATTTATATATGATTAGGCAATCTTCCACCATAATTACATATGAATAATTCTTCCTTAACGATGATGACGGTTCTAATTTATTCCTTGTTTAAGTCTTTAGATAGCCTCTTAACTTAGGATTTATGGTTTTTGGTTACAAGTAGGAGCAAGACTACTTAAATGCAAAAAATAAAAGTGAATAAACAAAAAAGTAAATTCGAAGAACAACACAGTTTTTTATTACAAAAGCGGAGTTTATTTTAGTAAACTACATACATCGAAAATATTCTGAAATTGCTTGAGCTAAATTTAGAACAATCATCATAATTCATTTTTGAGCTTCATGAAATTTCTTGATGAAATCAGAAGCTTTCCTGTTGATGCCAGGCTCCACTTCCCACTCGGAAATGCCCTCGTATTCCCTTCCTCCGTGACCGGCCGCTTCGTCGTCCGTCGTGTCGTGTGATGGCTTCCATGACTTGAAGATGTTGAGGAAGAAGAAGCAGCACGAAAACTTTCCTCTTTTGGAACGTTTGCCGCTGCTTCCCATGGCTCTCTCCAATGAGCTCTCCACCACTCTCCCCTGGTGAAGGCAGGGGTGACCACAACTTATAGAGGGAGAGGAGGCGGAGTAAAGGCCCAAAGGCCGACCAGTGGACGCATTAAGAGGCAATATAGCCCACTAGCTCCAATAGCCCATCCCAGCAATCCAGGCTAATTAAGTACATTCATTCAGCCCAAAGGAAAAAATCTTACTGTTTAGTTTACCCTTGAATTTTGACAAATTATCACTTCGGTCCTTTCATTTTTCTCAGTAAATTTTATCATTGGTTCGATCAATTGCGATTATTTTAATGGTCAAATTAAATATTTATATTTAAATAATAAAATAATAAAAAGATTAAATTTTCAATTTAGTTCCTCAATTATTGTACAAATCCTCAATTTGGTCCCTAAACTAAAAAAAATCTCATATTTAGTTTTTTACTATTTCCCAATTTAGCCCCAAATTGATCATTCTATACAAAAATAACTGACGTATCTTATTATTAACATGACATATAACCATTAAATAATAATTTTTTATTATTAAATAACAGATATATCATTTTTTTTTAACAAAATGACCAATTTTGGATCAAATTGGTTAACAGTATGAATCAAATCAAAAAAATTTTTAGTTTAGGAATAAAATTAAGGGCCTATACAAGAATTAAGAGATCAAATTAAAGATTTAACCTAATAAAAAAATATGATAGAATAATTAATAAATTAACACCTTCAATTAATATTACTATGAAAGTCATAATTTTTTTAAACAAGTATAATTTAAGAGTGAATTATGAAAATTTATAATATAATAGAATTATAATTTAAATTTAAATTTAAATTATTATCAAAATATTAAATATATCTACCAAATAGCTTATAATGTGAGGTGTCAATGAAAGTCATAATTTTTTTTTTTTGAACAAAAGAAAATATAGGAGATGGAGGATAAACTTTTCAAATCGTTAATAAAAATTAAATTTTTTATCATTTATATTTAAATACTTAAAAATTAAAAATGAATCATTAAACTTAAAATTCGATTCAAAGAAAGTCATAATTTAATGAGTAGAATAGTCAGATTTAACATTATTTGATTGAATTGAGAAGTTCAAGAATTTAATGTACAAAGAAAATTAAGCAGCTTAAAATTCTTGAAAGTTGAGGGACCTGGCAATTTTTTTTAGAAGAACAATGATTAAAGATATCAGTATGTTACCCGATACATGAGACGCAAACCACAAACTGCCCTAAAGGCTAAAGGCCAACAAGTGGCTATTGAGCCACGCACGTGGAATACGAGGGACCTGGCAATTTGATTTGGTGGGGGGAACAGCAACCGTAGGTTGGTAGCTGTGACCTGGCATCGTACCTACCACTTTGTTTTGCCCTTTTTTCAATAAATAAGTATAAATTTCAAGTGATAGGGAGCTGTTGTGTACCTACTATTAATTTTTTTTAATAATCAAATACAAATTTTAGAAAATGGGAGATTTGGGAAACAGTTATGGCATTAATAATAATATTACGATTATAAATTTATAAAATTTTATTTTTGTGAATATATTTTATTTAATTAAATTAATAAAAATAATTATAATTATAATTAATAATTACTAAAATAATTAATATTTATTAAATTAATAAATTAAAAATTAATCAATAAATTAATATTTTTAAATATTATTTAAAAAATAAATTTAAAATTTTAGTGATTTAATAATTTTATAATGATAATAATTATATTAAAATTTAATCAGCATCCTACTCAAGAAAGTATACCATTAAAGTAAGTTTTTTTTTTAATTTAATAATAACAATTTTTTAAAATATTTTATAAATATTTTAAAACTAATTTCTTTTTTATTTAATCAAAGATATGCTCTCTATACAAAATTTTAAAAAATTAAAAAAAATAACCTTTTCCAAGGAATTGAAGGGAAATTACAAATTAACTCTTTCCACCAACTCCCATGTTTATCTGAGAGGATAAAGAATTTTTTTTTGTTTTTTTTTAAGGCAGAGTTTAACGCCTCAACCTGTCTTTCCACTGTTGAACATCACCCCATCCGACTACCCTTCAACCTACCAAACAAATTTAATTGTGCTATCTTATCAGTACCACCTTAGCTAATCCGATCCTTGTTTCTGTTCTCTCTTCCCTGTTTGAATTCAGAAAGAAGTGAAAGATATCATCGTTTTTCTATGGATCAATCTTCGTCGTCAGGCAACACGGCATCTGTGGATGCTCCGCTTGAGCTGGTGGGGTTTGAATTATTGGAGTTGTCTCCTAACAGGGTCAGCGGACGCCTTCAGGTCACCAACAAGTGTTGCCAGGTGAATTTTCTCTTCGATCTGTTCCCCGTTTGTTTTCTATTGAATTTCCCCGTTTTTGGAAAGAGTCTTACAGGATTCATTTGTCCAAAGAGCAGCCGTTCAAGGTGCTGCACGGGGGAGTATCGGCCCTAGTTGCGGAGGCGTTGGCCAGTATTGGGGCTCACATAGCGTCCGGTTATCAGAGAGTGGCAGGAATCCACCTTAGCATCAATCATATGAAAAGCGCTAAACTAGGCGATCTGGTGCACGGTGAAGCCACCCCCCTCAACCTCGGCAAAACCATTCAGGTTAGAGGGTACACCCATCAATTACTGTCTCAATCTACCCAAATGTTTCAAAAATTAAAAGCATAATAACGAGGGATATCATCAATACATTTGCTAACCGGTAATTTCTAAACAGGTGTGGGAGGTTCGATTGTGGAAGATTGATCCTTCAAACTCCGAGGAAAAGTCCTTGATATCATCATCCAGGGTTACTCTTGTGTGCAACTTGCCTGTGCCAGAGCATGCTAGGAAAGCTGGAGAAAATCTCAAGAAGTATGCAAAACTATAAATCCATTCTGTCTATCTCTTGAACTTGTTGTATTTGTAGCAACGATAAATTCAAGCATTCACCCAAATGTTGCAGAAAATAAAATCAAAACTCAGTTGTATGCAACATAAGTATGTTCTTTTATTGAACAAAGCTTCTCAGTAACACAAGAATCCCAGGAATTCATGATAACAGCAATATTATACATTGCATTGCATAACTTGAAGAAAAGAGAAAATCTACGCTAGAGACACCAGATTGTTGCTTAATTACAATCTACTAGATACATCATAGAGTGCACAACACTGAAAAATGCAGTTTCAGCTGAGAGTGGCAAAAGAGTTCTGTTTGAGAGAATCTACTTGATACATCATACTGCTCAACACTGAAAAATGCAGTAGTCTTTTTTTTTTTCTTTTTTGGTAAATAGAGAAACATTATTAATAGACTACAAATGCAGTACTCTTTAGTCCAAAATAGGGCGGTGATTTCTTCTACCGGGCGAATTGGGGTTGTCTTTTCTTCCTTTCTTTGCAACTTTGAAGGAAGAAAGTTTTTGCCTTTGGAATGTCAGAAACATCATCATCAACAACAACAATAATATAAGTCGAAATGGAATGTAAAAAGGGAAAAAACAGAGGAGAGGAGAAGGTGGTACCTTAGATTTGAAAGATGCTGAGTCAATTCATTGATCTCAAGAGCAGAAAGTTTGAAGGAAGACAAGGTTCCTGGTACTTCCTCAGAGACTGTTTTCGACAATCTATCCATTGAATCACTCATTTTTCTAAATGCCTGTAATTAAATGGTAAAGGGAACAATTCCAGTTTCCCTAGTGTTATTACGGTTGAGGAACAAGAAGAAGATGATACTGATTTTGAAATTTTTGAATTTAACTCACATCCATGGTTGGAATGGAAACAACAGTGAGGGAGAAAATTGCTCCGACTGCCTGGATTCACATTTCGCAACCAAAAGATCAAGTTAATCGGAAATATTGTAGAACGATAATGAAATTGATAAAGTAAGTGACTGGAAAATACCATTGAGAGAACGAAAAGAAGAGAGAGAAGGCCTAATTCAGGCGACGGTTGAAGCCGGAACCCTAGAGCTCTCACGGCCACCGGTTGCGTCGGACTAACAGCCATCGTGGCAACGGTAGCGTTCTGTGGTCTGGAGATTGGAATTGGAATCCGAATCGGTTTGAAAGCAGGAGGCGAAGGATTAGAAGCGTTTTCCGTCACCGTCGCCACTGGAGCGACGCCACCGCACCTCCACCGCAGAATCATAATTCCTTCTTGTTCGGAAGCGGAGAATTCGAACGCTCCGTACAGAGTAGTTTTGCTTTGTTTTTGTGTCCTCTTTTTTTTTTTCTTTTTGGTATTAAAAAATAGTGTCTTTTAGTTGAAACAAACGACAAAGGCCATTCTATGGAGAATTCGAACGCTCCGTACATAGTAGTTTTGCTTTGTTTTTGTGTCTTTTTTTTTTTTTTTTTCGGTATTAAAAAATAGTGTCTTTTAGTTGAAAACAAACGACAAAGGCCGTTTTATGGAGAAATCGAACGCTCCGTACAGAGTAATTTTGCTTTGTTTTTGTGTC